AGAGAGAGAGAGGGAAGGAGAGAGAGAGAGGCAGCATAGCAGTGACATGCGTATCTGTGTGCAGAGCAGGGCTGGGCGCTGCCTGCCAGGGGTGCTGGGGGAGCGGAGTGTGTTTAGTGTGTGCACGGCCACGCTCTGAGTGCACAAATGGGGCATGTGCGGGGCATGTTTGCATCCTGCATGTGTGTGGGATGGTGTCAGTGCATACACTGGCCTTGGATCCGATGGGATAGTTTGGGATAAATAAATAAAATAATCCAGAAATAAGGAGATAGCGCACCATACTGGAAAGAGTCCTGGAGCTTGAGCCATCCAGACCTGCGTGAGGGTGTGTGCGTGTGCGTGCGTGTGTCCGTCCTTAGTCACTTCAGCTCTTGAGCATCAGCGCCTCCTCCCTGAGGTGTGGAATACGTAGCTCGAACCTGAACCTCACTGTGGCGTTGGGGGAGCGGGAGAGATGGCAGAGGAAAGGTGCCTGCTCACAGCACTGGAGGAAGTGCTCCAGGCGCCAGGCTCAGGCCAGGCCTGTGGCAGGAGTCCACAAACCAGCCTCTGACTCCCTCCTCAGGTGCACAATGACCCTCAGTGCGGCTCCTCCCCCTACAGCTGCTTGAGGTCAGTCAGCCTCTTCTTTGCGGGTGAGCAGGAGATTCACCTGGCCAAGGAGGTCACCCACGGAGGCACCAGGTAACTATAAGCCCTACTCCCTGACACTAGGGTGGCGGATAGGTGAACATCTGCCCTTCGTGAGGCTAAAGGGGGGTGTCGTCTGGGAGCAAACAGCCATTTCTAGCATTAGGGCAGAAGCACTAGCAGCTCAGCTGGGTTTCTAGGCAGTGGGTTTGCAAAGGGATGCATCTCTTGTAATTTTCTGGGACTCTCAGACCCTGTGGGTTTCCAGACAGTGGACTTTCAGGAAAACGATGGAATCTTCCAGAGAGTCAAAGGCTTGCTACTGTAAATATGCTTAAATGTTTTCTTGGACAGTTTGAGGGAGCTCTCCAAAGGGCTCATGCCCAGTGCAGGCCTCCTTGGAGCAGACACGGAGCACAGCTGACCCTTTGCCGATGACAGGGTCACTGTGCACGTCAGTAGTCTTGCAGGGACGTCAGGGATGCCAGGGACACCCCAAGGATGAGCGCTCCTTGCTCCACACTAAACGGCCCCAAATGGGGTCTCCCCTGAAATCTTTCCCACACCTCTCCCTCGTGGTCCTGGTCCTCCTCATGTTGCTGTCAGGGGTCTCCCGACAGAGACCTTTCCCCCCATCCTCCCTGCTCAGATAACAACTGGGTAACCAAGCTTTCTGGGGCTGGCTGTAACGGAAGGCCCTAGGGCTTCTTCTATGAATAAAGGGTTGGTCTGTGGGTCTTTGGGCTGGTTAGACACCACTTTTGTTTTCCTTTCCTGATTTGCAGCTGGGTTAAAAGTTGCCAAATTCTAGATTGGCTAGGAGTTCCAGCCTAATAAAACTGGGAGTGCCGAAGCATGTGGAAGCCCTGCTCTTTTCTGGACCTCTCAGTTTTCCTTCCCTTTTGCCTTCTTTCCCCACTCCATTCTTGTTCTCCACCAGAAAAAGCAGATGCCGGGGCCAGCAGGTGGCGTAGTGGTTAAGATGCTGGACTCCTACATGGTGGACCGCGGTTTGAGTTCTGGACTCAGACCTTGAAACTCATGCCAGGCATGTGTGCATGCATGCCCCAAATCCTGAGAATGGAGGAGGAGGGGTTGCAATGTAGCCATCCTCCCGGGGAGTGATCTCTCACTTTCTCTCCATCTCTCTCTCTGTCTCTCCAGTGAGTGCAGATGCTCTATAGCAAAAAAATCTTTCTTAAAAAAAATAATAAAAAAACAAAGCAGCAGATGTCTGCTTAAGCCACCTCTTGTGTCTGGGAAAAAGAGCTGGCAAGTCACTCGAGATGGATCTCTGCAGGGAAATGGGCATTTTAAATGTCTCCGAAGACGAAAGCGTCCCTCTCCAGTGGTAGACTTCCAGGAGGGGCTGTGGGGGCCTCAGGTCACATGATACCAGTGCCACAAGGATGAGACTGGTGCTGTGTTGGGTCCTACAGGAAGGGTGGGCCCAGCAGGCCCTTTGGTGAAGGGACTGGATTGGTGGAGGTGGTGTGGACACCCTGATGCTCTGGGCTGACGCTCTGGGCTCTGCCCGCAGGATCCAGCTTCCACACGTGACAGGGAGCCTACGCCTGCAGAAGCTTGCTGGTTACGTCATTGTGCGGCACCAGTCGGCCTTCACGCTGGCCTGGGATGGCGCCTCTGCCATCTACATCAAGATGAGCCCCGAGTTCCTGGGCTGGACCCAGGGGCTGTGTGGGAACAACAATGCTGACCCTCAGGATGACTTGGTGACCAGCTATGGTGAGGCTCAGGGCAGGTGGCCTCTGAGTGTGTGGTTGGAGGTGGAGGATAAGTCAGGCTGGGAGGGTTGGAAGAAGATCTGGGGTAGAGCCTCGGGTGCTAAAGACCCAGTGGGAGGTCAAGGACCCCTTCCCACAAAACGTTTGGCTCTAAGCACGTTCACAACCACTTGGGCCTCAGTGTTCCTCCCTGTAAAGCAGTCCTACGAGAGCTCTTCCTGGGCTGTGTGCAGACCTGGGGGCACTCTTCCGGTTGAGATTGACCCTGCAAGGTGTGTGTAGGAGGTGGAGGGCGATGACAGGGAGCAGGGGACCAGAGAGGACCGGGAAGAGCCAGGGCCCAGCTAGGGCTGGGGGTACCTGTGGAGGAGAGATAGGAGGTGAGAGTAGAGGGTGCAGGGCCTGGCATGGCCACTCTGAGCACACACAGCACCCTAAAACTGCATGTGCATCACCTCAACTAGTTCTTGCAATAATCTTACAAGGGGAGCATTTTCCTCGCTTCACAGATGGGGAAACTGAGGCTCAGAGAGGTACAGAAACTTCTGCAGAGCAGTTCTTTTTTGAATTTGGGGCAGGAGGGAGCCACTGCAGGCTCCTGTGTGTGGGGGCTACCGTGACCAAATAGCTTTTTCAGGAGAATGGCTCAGCTGGAAACTCAGATTGGGGTGGGAGCACAGGAGGCTGGATTTTTCAACTCCTCACCTATGCGCCAGCACCCACCTTTCCTCGGAGTCTTCTGTCCCTGTCCCACCTGTCTAGTCCCCCGCCCCTCACCCCACCAACAAGAGTGCACGAGCTCTCCCCACAGGGAAGCTGACGGACGACGTAGCTGAGTTTGTGCACAGCTGGCAGGAGTCAGCACCCAACCAGCTTCCCCGGCCCACAACCTCCTCCCTGCCTCGCCCACCATGCCTACAGCAGAGCCTGGGAGCCATGCAGGTCAGCACCCTGGGGAGAGTCCACCCCCACCTGCAATCCTAGACCCTGGCTTCAGTTAGTTTCCCAACCAACACTTGGAAAGCCATTACTGCCCCAGCCCAGGGTGGCCCGGGACTCCCTCTCTCCTCCGCACTTGCCCCTCCCTGTTCTCTGTCCCCAGTTGGGGGTCCATGTGGGGCTGGTGAAGTCAGAGGGCTGTGCGTGGCCCTGCCAGCCCCCAGCCCCGGCTCCCGTGCCCCAGGGTGTGTACGAGCGGTGCGAGGTGTTGCTGCGGCCCCCCTTCGACGCCTGCCACGCCTACGTCAGCCCCCTGCCCTTCACGGCCAGTTGTACCAGCGATCTCTGCCAGTGAGCGGGGTGGTGGGTTACGGGGAACCCTCCGAGCCCTGGGGTGGGAGCCCAGCACATGGGCCTTGAGCCTGATGATCTGAGGCACTGACAGGTCTGCTTTCCACAGCTCTGAAGTCCTCATCTGTCTGAGTGGGACAGAGTTTCCCCATTCAGCTGAGACCCAGAGATGGGGCCTGACACCCTCAGATAACATGAGTCAGCAGCAGTGCTGGTTCTGACCCAGGTTCCCTGCCAAGTCTAGGGTCTGTGAGCCTAGATGCCTCCCCAGGCTCCCTTTCCCAGCTGGGTGGAGAACAGGGGTGCCCCGGAGCCCTGGCAGTCTCTGCAGGGGGCTGGGGGGCTAGCAGCGGGTTAAGCCTGGTTCCAATGTGACCCTGGGTTTCCCTGCACAGATCGGTGGGTGATGAAGCCACCTGGTGCCGGGCACTGACTGAGTATGCCAGGGCATGTGCCCAAGCAGGGCGGCCCCTGCAGGGCTGGAGGACGCAGCTCCTGCAATGCAGTAGGTGTAGCCCGCCGGAGGGCAGGGAGGGGTGCAGACCAGCTCTGTTGCGGGGCTGTGGGTGGCATCCTCACACCTCACCTCCATGTCTTGCCCTGTTCAGAACCACAATTGCCAGAACTTTAAGCCCTGGCATTCCATCCTCATGTGACAGATGGGGAAACTGAGGCTTAGGATGGGCAAGACCAGCCTGGGGCCACAGAGTACGATGCGGGTGGTTCTCAGAGCCTCCCAGGCCCTTACCAATTGCCTGGCAGCCAGTGCTCCCTCTGGGCCTAGAGCACCAGGAAAAATCCAAACCTCCCCTTCCCGCCCCAGGACCTGGAGTAGGTATAGGCAGGATCCTGGCAGAGCGGGGCTATGAGGAGCTGACCGACGTGGGCCCTTCCCTCCCAAGCCATCCACTGCAAGGAGAAGGCCTTTACCTACAACGAGTGCATCGCTTGCTGCCCCGCCTCCTGCCAGCCCCGGGCACCCTGCGTGGACAGCGAGATCGCCTGCGTGGATGGCTGCTACTGCCCCGACGGTACGCAGTGTTTGTGTTTGTGGAGTAAAGGAAGGAGGCGACAGTGAGTAAGGGAGTAAATGCAGGTGTCTTACGAGAGTGAGGGCGAGGTGCACTGTGACCTCTCTGGAGACCTTTCGGGGCAGCTGATTTCACAGGGGTATTTCATTAAATCAGACTGAGCTTGGGTTTGTTTTTTTTTTTTTTGGAGAGGTTTTTGCCATAGGGAATGTGCGCTTGCCAGATGGAGAGAGACAGAGAGACAGAAAGCAAGAAATCACCCTCCCAGGGGGATGGTCATGCTGCGATTCCTTCTCCTCCATTCTCCTCTTGGGATCTTGGGCACGCATGCACACGTGCCCGGGTTGAGTTTTAAGCCACCGGGCCCGGGACACGAACCACAGTTGACTACATGGGAGTCCAGTGACATAGCCATTATGCTAACTGCTGGTCCCCCGAGACTGAGCTTGTTAAGCTGAGTCTCTGAGGACAAGCATTCCTTCACTCACTCCTTATACACACACACCTGTCTCAACTTTCTTCTTTGCAGTTACTTCATTCTGCTTTTTTTTTTTTAAAGAGATTTTTGCATAGGGCACATGCACTTGCCATAGAGGCAGAGAGAGACAGAGAGACAGGAAGCAAGAAATCTCCCCTGGGGGGATGGCCATGCCCCAATCCCTTCTCCTCTAGTCTCCTCTTGGGATTTTGTACATGCACATACATGTGCCTGGTGTGAGTTTTTTTTTTTTTTTTTTTTTTTTTTCCTGGTGTGGGTTTTAAGCC